TTTTTTAGTAAGATGTACATCCCAGTCTGCTTTTACTAAATAGGAACCAACTAGTCAAGAGACTGCAGAGTTACCAAACATTTCCCTTTGAAGTGGCAAAAAAAACCACCAAAAACCTGTTTGAACAGAGATAGAAAGTAGGTCTTCTCTTTCAGTTCAAAGATTAGATAGAGACATCTGGGAAAAATAACAGTTAAACAGCTCAAGGAAGGGAGAGTCCAGGAACATGGACACTTGTCATTAATCAAGTTACAATACCTTGTCAACTGAATGCATCCTGATGATGCCTTTTCAGCATTGACAGATAAAAAGAATTATACAGATATTTACACATAAATGAAGACTTGAAAGCTTACGCATAACGAAAGTTTTTTTAAAGATGTGCAGAAATCAAGTACTGAAGTTTCACATAAGTTACTTCAAAGTTTATTTGCCTGTTCAAAAAAAGATGATCAAGCACATCATAATAATAATTTGGTTGATGCTTAAGCAATGACATTACCTTAACACTTTGGTTTCTGTTAATTACAAAGCTTGTCTGCTACAGAGAAAAACTCTGCATTCAGGGAATTTTTTTAGATCTCTAAGAGACAAATAGGTATCCAAGATCAACAGCAGATGGAGATGAATTTGCAATTTGTTACATGAAGGAAATTGAGAAAGTTCTCACTAAGTACCATTCAAGCTTACATACTCTGAATTTATCTCCATGTGTTGAATTAGCCACCAGATGTGTAACTTTTGAGTTGAAGTCCTTTCGAATAATTCCACCCATATGATGAACTAAGGTCACCAGCTTAACCTGCAAAATAAAGAAAAAATAAGCTTACAGTCTATCTTTTGAAATACACAGTATAGAGTGAGAAAGGTACAAGAATAGTTTACAAAACAGGTGATAGAAGGTTACATTAAATGGCTAGGACTAGAAATGCTCCAGTTTGTTCCTTTTGTTTTTAAGAAGCTATAGCTGATATATGAACTACTTGTTTGCATCCCCCTTCCCCTTATTTTTTTAATTATTGTAGAGATCCTTGTTACATAGCTTGACGAAGACTTCAAGCCATCAGTGCACTGGTGATCAATATCATGCATAATGCCTTCATCATTTCACATGAGATAAATTTGAGGCATGTTATCCTCAATAACTGGGTCAGTTCTACCTGAAGGGACAGCTACTAGAATTTACATAAAAGATGGCAAGTTGTCCAGTCTGCATCCAAACATTGCTAGCCCTAAGAGCAAGTTAAGAATTTATATACTTTTACTTAGTCCAAAAATTAAACTACTGACTGCCAGGCATCCAACAGGAATATCATGCACCAATTGCATGACTGAGAAGGTAAAGCACTAGAGTACAAGACTACCTCATGCTTACTTAGGTCAAGACTCAAGTCCTAATAGCATGACAGCAAGATACAACAACAGCAAGTACTCTGAATAGTACTGAAAAGCTTTACCTGATCACACTATTTCCTATAAAAGTACAAGAACATTATTGGGTAAATAAGATCTTATCAAAAAGCCTGCATCTACAAGTGTTTAAACAGCTACAACTCAGTACTTATTACATCATTCCAATAAAAAGTGACTTTAGTAAAGTTTTGTTACTATCTATTGGTGTCATTGCCTTTGGATGAGCAACAGGAGAACAAAGCAGCTCATTCCCGACATAGAAGTTCTAGTCATGGTTAAATCCTACAGGTGATAGAACAGAAGAGCATTATAAAATCACACTTAGCGTAGCTTTACCCATGTAAAGGGAGAAGAAAAAAAATTCTTACTAATTCATCTTTCTTCCTGAATCCTGTAAAGCAGAGTACCAAGTTCAACATACTTGCACAGTACAGTGGACGGCATGAGAAAGGTAAAGGCTGAAAGAAGATGAAATTGGCTCATCAGTTAAAAGTATAATGATAAATATTTTAACAGAAGCAGTATTTTTAATATAGTAGTGTTATTCCTAGTATTAAAGCATATGAAACGCTAGTCCAAGCCTGCATTTTGAGTTCTGCATCAGCTTCAGACATAGCTGTAGTGATAAAATAACTAGAGAACTTCCAAATTCCCAAGGCAGTACAGTACATCACACATTTTCTCTGCCCCAATCCACCTTCCTTTAAGTGAGGACTTTTAAAAATAAGTGTCTATTAGTACATACTTGTGGGATTATGCTTTATGAAAGACAGCATACAACAACTCTCACAGCTACAGCAGTAGAGTTGTGATCTTACCACTATCTGGCCGTGATTTCTCATTAGATACAGTAATCTAACATGATACTAAAAAGCTTACTTTTCTCCAACTTACCTAGATGACAATATTTGTGATTCACAAAGCAAAGATGATTATTTCTAACACTTCATACTTATAACTCACTGCATGAGAGAGCTACTCAGCTGATCTCATAAGCAGCACATACCTCTCCTTTTTGTGCACAGTGCAGTACTACTGGTGGCCCAATGACACGGCAGTCTGCTTTGCAGAGGTTGTTAAAGATGGAGCCTTGGAAGTCTGTTACAACGAAGACAGTCTCAAATTCTGGGGAATCACAATCTCCAAGCTCTTCTATTGTATTTGTCTTTATGTAGGGAACTTTAATTTCCTTAAGCACAACAGGAAGAGACAGGATGTTATTCAAGCAACATACCTGAATTAGGATCAATTTTTATTTTTGATCATTATGAAAGTGTAAAATTCAGACTTTGACAGACATACTATCAAAAAGATAGACAAAAGCTAGATGAGAAACATTGTTTTCTAGTATAAGAATAGCTATGAAGTGCATAAAAACAATTCTTAAAGCAATTCCTGCCTCTGAAGAATAAGAAAATGTAATTAAGTAGTTTTACTTATCAGTTCACAGTGACAACATAGCAATGACAAATAACTACAGATAGGGAGAAAAAGAGAAGGAAAATGAAATGTCTCCCTTCAGACAGTCACAATAACTTAAGGTGCTTCTGGATGCAATTAAAAAGCAACACTCAGCTTGTAACAGCTAGCTCCATGCTGCATATATCTAAAAAAACAGAAGTCAGTTAAGTTCATTGCTCAGTATTTCTAAAGACTTAACTACATTGTCTATCAATCACAAGTTCCAGATTTTATTTCCTAGGTTTTGGTTTTTTTAATAAAAAGAAAACAGAATTATGTCTTAAGATTAAACACAACTTTCAAGTGAAAAATAAGACAGTTAGCCAATCATGAAGCCAGTCTATAGTGAAAACTTGTGTTAGCTGAGTAAGCATGCATTTGGATGTCTCCACTGATTTCTCACCCCTCTAGAAAACAGCTACTGAAGAGATGCAGATAATGCTTCCTTGATAGACGTTTGAAGAAGTTGGAGAAAGTTTTGAGAAGATTGAAAAGTTGTAAGCGATACCATCAAACATTCGCACAACTTGTGACCATTACCCCAATTAACATCAATTAGAAGAGTCCACACATTTCAGTCCCAGTGAAGTGCAACATGCCGCATGCAATCACATGTGTTTAATTGCATGACATACCATATGGGCAATACTTTTTATTAGTTTTTCTTCAGATTTACCAGGGCTAGTTTCCTTTATCTTAATAACTGGCACTTCCATTATCCTAATGGTCTGTGGAAGAAGAGAACTTTAGTACAGAACCACATTGGTTAGCAGAAATCTGAAAAACGACATCTCATTTCAGTATTTATTTTTTTCCTCTTTTGAGAAAAGCAAGAAAACAACCTCAGACACCATACCTCCAAGGCTTTCAGAAGCTCCTCACGCTTCCCTGCTTCCTGAACCAAAACCACTCTTGTTTCTATTTGAGGCATTTCTTCTGTTTATAGAGAAACAAGGATAACATCCATATTTCAATAGAAAAACCCATGTTAATTCTAAATCAAGCAATAATATCTAGAAGAAGCTGACTACAGCCTTTTCAAGACAGCTTATTTATCAGGAACAATCCTGAAAATAAGTGTTGCCTCAAGAAGACTGCTCTGACATGAAGACACACTCAACTGACCATACAACATAAATTTCTAATATGTGGTACAAAAAATATCCTTTAATTCATGACCATAAAGTCAAAGTAAAATTGACTTGATGCTTGTAACAGAATTAAATAGCAAGACTTGCTGCAAGATAGATTGTATCTTTCCTAGCTTCTATGCTCCTAGCTAACAAGGCTCACTATTGCCTAATAACTAATCAGTTTAACAAGGGAATATGAGAAGCAAAATTAGTTATCTTGTTCTTTTTTCCCCATGTATCAATAAGTTTTGAAATGAAAGGAAGGAGGGGCAAGCCTCCAACAGTTATTTGATCAAGAAGATTGACTGTTTTGCAGGAAAACAGAAATACTTTAGTGTGTTTTCTGTTGGGTTTTGGTTGCTTGCATTTTAGGATTAGTTAATAAACTAAATAAATTTCAAACCCAAGATTATTAATCTTTTTAAAGGCTACTTATAATTTTGCACAACAGAGCAACTACAGTTTCCAAACACTTGCATCAGTTTATCACTTAAAATTATTTATTCCATAGAAGTATCTTTTGATATATTAGCAAGAAGACCCATTTAATTTCATGGCTATAAGCCAAAATTTTGATAACAAAAAGTGTTTAAAATTAAGACTCCTCCTTTGCTAGTGGAAGGATCCCAAACCAACACCCTTTAGGCTACACTACATACAACAGCAGTTCAGCAAAGCACTTCCAGTTTTCCAAAACTTAATGCTCACAGAGTAATCAGTCATTGTAAAACGTGGGTCTTAAATTTCTTACATCACCTTCAATGTCCACAACAGATCCAGGAAGCACATTCTCTTTGGAGTTTTCTATAGTTTTTGAATCAAGAACAGAAGAATCAGCCAAGAGGCTCCTCCCGCTTTCAGACACCAGCGTACTGCTGTCAGCCATGATTACTTCTTACTTTCTTCAACAGCTAGAAGATAGATGTGCTCATTTAAGCTACAGTTGCTAAAAGGCTCCTTAATGATCCCCATGACTAAGGCTGTCAGAAGTAACTTCAGACTTCCAAAAAAGTTTGCTCAGTAAAATCCCACTCAAACTGACAGAACAGTTACAGAAGGAGTCACAGAACTGGTAGAAAGGATTGCCCATAAGTCTATTATGGAAATAATGAAACATCAGCAAAAGAATTAGAGGACATAAAGTACTTTGCTAAGCTTTGAGTTTTCATGTGAACAGAATTACTTCTGTCACATAAAAACAAGCATCCATAAGGAAGAACCAACGGTTTGCAAGCAAAGGGAAATCAGGTTTCTCAAAATGAATCAAAGCCTCTACAAAGCTATTAAGCATGCATGTAGAGGTATCCACACAATCAAGGCTACTGCCCTACATTATTACAGCATTGTAGATCTATCCATCATTAGATGCCTTCTGTCTTCTCACAGATAGATTCCCATCCCTCCTTGTTCATCAATGCAATGATCTGGAAGAGCATAGCTCTTAATTCTTTCTTTCTGCATGGGTATCTGCCTGAATCTTGAACCTGAAAACATGTTCTAAGACACCTGTCCATGAAACAGCACATTTTCTTTCCTGCACAAAGCAAGAAGTACACATGTCCTCTGATTCATCAGTTACGTTAACATAAGTATTTACAAAGCAATATCAAGAATTACCCAGAATAACCCCTATAACCAAACTGCTGTAGTATAACAACTCTCTGTATCACTTTAACTGAAGAAGTGCTCCTACATTTTAAGTGTCCACTAATAAAAAGCAGTTGCCAAAAGACACATTAAAGCACTGCTTGAAAGAGGATTCATGAAGTAGCAAAACTTCATTTTTTAATTTTTTTTTTTTTTTTTTTTTTTTTTTTTTTTTTTTTTTTTTTACAGAGACAGTGGTGAGGTGCTGGAACAGCTGCCCAGAGAGGTTGTGGATGCCCCATCCCTGGAGGTGTTCAAGGCCAGGTTGGATGGGGCCCTGGGCAGCCTGGTCTAGTGCTAAATGGGGAGGTTGGTGGCCCTGCATGTGGCAGGGGGGTTGGAGCTTTATAATCCTTGAGTCCCATCTAATCCTGGCCATTCTGTGAAAACTTGAGAGCAGCACAAGCTGTGCAATGCCTACCCAGTTACATGGGAAAGTAAGAACTGGAAGACAAATGAAGCACATGTTCTGGCAGGACAACAATATAGGAAGAAAAAGAAAAGCTACTTAACTGCAGAGTTAGATCACAAACTCTCCAATTAAGTCTACTGTCAATTTAAATGCCTACAGATTTCTTCACAAATTCAGATATTATCATTGATACAACTCCTGTCCTATTGCTGTAGTTATACCTAGAGACATATCAACAAATACACACTTCCAGAGAACCTTACTGTGTGTTACAAAGTAACCCACACTTCGAGTTGGGCATTGATTTTCTAGATGGTTTTCCCAGTTTATTCATGTGCTTTCATTCTGGATGCTTTAAGCTCTGTTGTAACAGCCCAGATTAGTCAGTAACACAGCAAAGCTAATCACCAGAGCCACACACGGCAGTGCCAAGGCACGGAACAAACAGCACACACAGAAGACGTGCACACAGCAACTTCTCCTTACATAAGAGGGAACAAGAAACCTGAAAACGCTTATAAACTATCTCCCTGCGCTTTGGAGAAACCTTGAAAATTACGAGATAAAAAGCACTCTACAACAAGGCTTAGGGGAGGAGCTGTCACCAAGCTCTCTAAAGGGGGCACGGTGCACACATGCTCTGCAGGTGGGGTGACACCGCCAGCCGCTGCAGCGCTCACGGGCCGCCAGGTGCCAGCAGGCCGGGCCTCCCTTCCGCCTCGGGCGGCCGCCGCCCCACAGGCGACGCCGGGCCCCCCCACGGTGCCCGCACACGGAGATTCCCTCCTTGGGCTCCGAGCCCCGACCCGCCGCACGGCTCCGCGCTCCCCTCCGACCCGCACAGCTCCACCTCACCGCCACCTGCCACCGACCGCAACAACCACCGCCACCATCAGCCGCCGTCACCGATTCAAAAAGCGAGCCGCCGCACTAAGCGCGCCGCCCATTGGCTGCCCGTCACATTTCTGTTCTATAATCCTCCTTCTCATTGGGCCGCTGGAGAGCCCCACCCCCATCCGAGGTACCCGAGAGCAGGTTGCTGACTGGGCGGGGCGTGCTGCGCGCTGATTGGCTGCTGGCGGGTTTCGAACTCTTACAACGGTCGCGGGGTCGGGGCCCTGCTGAGGCGCGTCGGTCTCCGCCGCCTTTCCCGTATCGCCAGGCGGACCGAAGTGTCTCAGGGCACCGCCGGCCTCTCCTCGAAACGCCTTTGGGCTTCGTGAAAGAGATGACAAATAGTGATGTTATCCATCATAAAAAATAGGGAAAAGCAGATAGTGACGATAGCAGGTGTTTATGCGACTGAAGGTTTGCTGGTGAAGCGTATGTAAGTGAGGATTATTTTCTTGAGGACAAGATTTCAGACATGGGGGCGGTCACTGCAGTTCTGACATTTCAGTCAACCATTAGTCGTACAGCGACCGTATTTCATACACAGCAGTCACAGCCAAAGTTAAACCTTGAAGGCAACAGAACGGAAGTGTAAACCTTCAGCAGACAAATAACATCTCCCAGCTCATGTGAAGAGCGGATGGGCATGGCCTGTTTTGTGAGCGCATGTGAAAATCTAAAGTCACAATCTCATACAGCAACAGGAGCATTCTAATGAACCTCTTAAGCCATCCTTCCTGGGACTGAGAGCCAAATTTTTGGTGGCGATCACTTAAGAAGAGTAGCTAAGAATTATTTTAACAAAACGCTTTTATTCTCACCAAAGCTTAGATCAGACGTGATGACAAAATAATGACTATTCCTTCTACGTCTGACGTTTAGAAATCTCAGTGCTTTTCTTTATAAAAGGCTCTAAAATACAAGCACCTATTATTATTTTTTTTTTGTTGTGCAGAATGTAGTGAGCAGCTGAAACTTGCTGTTCCTTCCAGTTATCTAGACATCAATAACCCACGAATATAACATTTATTCAATAGTTAAACAGTCTCCCCTTGCAATAAAACCCACAGGAAGAAAATTCCAGGAGATTAAATCACTCCCTGAGTCCAATCACATAATCTCCGTGAGAGCAGTGATGTAACACCTTCTGGAAGAAGCCATGCAACCACAAGAGAAAAGCTGTTGTGATGCCAAGAGGCCTGAAGGGAACATCAGTATCCTGTGTTGTTGTGAGCTGGGTGTGCTGCTATTGTTTGGGTTTCTTGGTGAGGTCTTGCTGGTTCTTGGCTTCAGGGTGTGAGTTTATGTAGACAGACTGCCCATCCACTAGAAAAATTGCAAGCACTTGGATTTGGGTTGAAATTTATTTGATTTTTTTGCAATTGTTTTTAAAGAAAGGAATCTTTCTCAGACTAAAGCATTCTATGTTTTCAACTAACTGCCACGAACATAAATTCCACTGGATATATTTATTCCAGCTAACAAGAGCAATAGATTTCAAAAAAGTGAGAGAGGAGGGATATGTGTGGGGGTCACTTGGAGCATGAGAAACACAAAAACCTGTTTTCTAATAGGTAAGTAGACAAGAAAGGAGGATAAGACCCAGGTTTGAAAAAGGCAGCTACTGAAGGGTCCTGGATGCGGAGCTGAGGGGACAGATGTCCTGGAAAGGAAGAGAATGGGAGTATGCCAAGCAGGAGAGGACAAGAGATATAAGTGTGAGCACTGCACAGTACTGAAAAGAACAGCTCAGAGCCTTGAGACCTCGGGAATCTCACCTTACACTGCTTTCTGGGCACAGTTGTTTTCCTAACAGCCCTCTCCTATCTGTAGTTTGCTTGAAACTGTAGGTGGACCTTACAGAAATTCAGTCTGCTGTTGTTGAAGATGAAGGATGCTTAAGATACTTACTTCCTCACAAATATCAGAAAGTTTCTTCTGCTGCATTTAGAATTGGTGAAGCTCTACTTTAGTTCCAGTAAAGTTGGCCTAGTGGCTGACCTTTTACTTCTCAGGAGCATCTTTTTCCTTTATTGACACTTCTTGTCAATTGTTAAAGGAAGCTCATCTTTTCCTCGACCCCACTAAATTCCCAAGTGGCTTTTTAGTATTGTGAATTAGTTTTTAAAAGCAATGTTAACTGTTAAAACTGATGTTCCTTCTTTGGATTACATTCATAATGCGCATGACTTTGTTTATTTAAATAAATATTTACATTTGCTCTGTGACTAAGCCTTAAGTAGGCATTTAATTTATGCCCAGACTGAATTCTGTAGCATTTGTTTCCTGCACGGTGCAACAAGAGGATTCGTGCCTGACACGAAAGCACTTATGGGGGTGAAGAAGACCTATTCAGAAGAATTTGTCTTCCCTACAAACGGCTCTGTGTTAAACTAGAATCCGTTACTGAACTCGGGAAGAAAAAAATCCCACTTTAAGACAAAATTACAGAATAAATCATCATAATAAATCCGTCTCCGTTGAAAAACCCAGGCACCGCTTCGCCTGCCTAAAATGCAGGTGTTCCCCGACCGAGACGTCGTGCGCGGCCGGAGCTCGGGGCGGGGATGCGGCGGGGCGGCCCCGGGCAGCGGAGCTCCGCGGCGCGGCCTCCCCGGAGGGCGGGCGGGTCTCGGGCGGGGCGGCGGCTGCGCGGGCGCGGAGAAGGCCCCGCCGCCACCCCGCGCTCCCGCACACGCAGGCGGCGGCTCCGGGGCGGCGGGCGCGGAAGCGCCGGGACTTCCTCCGGCGGAGGCCGCTCCCCGCGGGGCGATGCGGGCCGCCTGGGTGCTGCTGGCGGCGCTGGGCGCCCTGGCCGCGTATTACATCTACCTGCCGCTGCCCGGCACCGTGTCGGACTCGTGGAAGCTGATGCTGCTGGATGCCACTTTCCGGGCGGTGCAGCAGACGGTAAGGAAACGCCATCGGAGCCCATCGCCGGCACCGCGGGATCGGGCCGTCCTGCGGTACCCGGCCTGCCCGGGCGCAGAGATCGGTGCCGCGTCCCCCCGGCCGCGCGGGGGGCGAGGCCGGGTCCCGGGCGGCTCCTGCTTTTGTCCTCGTCGGGCAGTCGGGCGATTGTTCACTGCTGGCATCCAGCCGCCCTGCTGGCTTTGTGATGGAGGTTTTCCTATGTGCTGCAAGCTGTTTTCCGACCCCGGGGGTTTAGGTCAGAATAATTAATGGCTTGTACTTCCATGCGCTAACCGATGCCTTAAGGAAAGAAGATGTAGGGAAACTATTTCAAACGTCGAAATCAAGTGGCCTGTATTTGAAACTGTATTAGTCAACAAAACCCTTTCAGAATAGCTGTTTTTGCTATAAAACACGATTGTTTTGTTGCTTTATGATCTCTCCCTCACTTTCACTCACTGTGTGTGTGCTGGCATGAAAACAGGAGATCACGAACTTCTGATGATGGCTTCAGCTATGAGCTTGGTTTTCTGCCAGGCTGACCTGATCTTTGACAAGGACTGATCAGTTGTGGTCACGCCTGATTTAGGGTACTGTCTGTGTCAAAGTATTTCAGTCTTTTTTCCTAGCAGCATTTCAGTTCATTATGTTGTCCCTAAAACCTTCAACAGCTTCCATGTTGAGAGCATCGGGAGATGCAGAAAGGATGAATTCCTGGGCAGAGGGCTCATAAACAGATACCAGAAGGACTAGGTGGGAAGGTATCTTCTATATTCCTAACAGTAACTGTGGAAGCAGGATGACAGTGTCCAAGCTTGCATATTCTCCCTGAATTGCTTCTCTGGCTGCCACTTTTGCAGTCAGAGTTGGGACTAGATGTAGATCGAACTTTAGATGTCCTTGTTCGTCACAGGGTTGTTGGACTAGATGACCTTTAAAGGTCCCTTCCAATTCCGGTGATTATTTGATTTTCAATAGGCCGCTCAGCTGAGCCACTGGGATGTGAAAGAATAAAGCTTTTTGTTTATATACTCTCCCTTAAAGAAATGATACTGCTATGACAGGTAAATTATGTAGACATAGCCTACAACAGCATGTTTTCCATTAAAAAGCTATGGCGTGACATGCACTTGCTTTCTGCTGGTAACTGAATTAACAACACATACCTTTACAGGGGAGCTGGAACTTTAATAATTGGAAGGGCTACAATGGTCACAGCGTCCTGCCTGCAGAATACATGGTAACCTTTCTTCCAGCAACACCTGAATCAAGTCCATAACCTCTAGCTGAAGGAGACCTATCTTTAGAAAATCACATGACTAACTCTGTATATGTATACTGCTGTTGGCTTATGTACACATTCTGTTTGCTTGTGGTTTGCAAGGCATAGCTGGATGAGTCTCAGTGTCTCTAGGTTGGAGGGAGAAGGCAATCCCATCTTTTCTAGGGTATCCTGGAGGTCTTCCTCCCAGAGGAGCTGGCAGAACACAGTCTGCCCTGGGTGGCAGCTGGAGCAAACTGGCAGCACTGAGGTGCCCACATCTGCGACCTCTGTTAAGGGAAAGCGATAACTTGTTAGACAGTTGTTCCCATCTGTGGCCTGAGAAATATGATTACATACAGCAAGGAAATTTTACTAAATATCAGCCACAAGCAGCTTCCAGAGCACAAGAAGGAATGAGTGGCTTTTAGACAGATGTGTAAAGCATCAGCGAGGCAATAGCGGTGCCCTGAACCACAGAACAGGTAAACTTTGGGGTTTTCTTTCCAGAGAGAGCAAAATGAGGTGCTATCTAAGTGTTTAGAAGTCTTTCCAACACTGAGAGGTTGCACAAAGTCAGCAATAAGTGACTGCCATTAAGAATGAACTGTGTGAACTGAAGCTAAGATTGTAGAAGTTAAACCTGAGTACTTACTGTGGTAGACAGCTTTAGTGTGTGTATATAAAATCAAGTGTATGTCCTTCTGTAGAGCTGAGCTTCCCTTTTCTTTGTCTACCGGAGGTTGCAAGACCAAATGATTTAACGATGCTCTAAGTGTGACCATTGAACTTTCACCTACTTCTGAATGTATTTTCAGCTTGCTATTTATTACTTTCCTTTGTAGGTTTGATAGCCAGACAGAAGTACGTCACTAAGTGATTTTTATTTTATAACCTCCAAAGTACACTAAAATCCCTCTTTCCAAAGCATGAAACAAATTTTATGTGCTCTAAATACAGTTGTTTCCCTATTCTGAAATAGATTTGTGCTGACTCTGACAATCGAGCATGACAAGTTCTTGTTAGGGATAATGTGCTTGTTTTCTCACTCCTTTTATAAGCACTACCAATAAGACACACTGAAACTGGCACTGCTTTTCAGTGTGCTAATTATAAGGTGCTGCATTTCTGCATAGAGTTTTGTTTCAGGCAGCTAATAAAGTTCCTTTACAGGCTTGGGACTGACTCAGTGCCCTAGATCAGAGCAAAACCCAAGTGTTTACGCATTATCATGTGGCTAAAAATGCATAATGCTTATAGGGCAGTTTTCATAACTGTTTCACAACATATTACAAAAGGGAGCTGGTGCCATTGTCCCAATCTTACTTTGGGGGAAATGCAGACAGTGCCTTATTTGAGGTCACTGAAAATACTAGAGCTGGATGTTCAGAGCCCTATTCCTGTCCTGAGTGTAGTATGCTGTGCTGCTTTCAGAATGAAATTACAGTCTTCAGCTTCGTGTTATTAACAAATTGGTGCATTAGCTTAGAATGAGAATAATCATTCTCATCTGTCTTAAAATGGGACTTGGCCACAGTTTTATAGAAAACTGCAATGTTACACAGAAGTTTTTGGTCAGAAATTAAAGATAGTGAACACACATGTATATAAGACTGTCAGAACTCAGCTTCACTGAAATCTGGACAGCCACAGAAAACTACTTGGGATTACAGGACTGAGCAATAAATTAAACCATTAGAATTGTTTTACATGGTATCTGTCAAGAAGGGCCTAAAGCAACATTTCATAATTCTGCTGTTAACAGCAGGATTGATAGAGGCAGCTCTCCTTTTCATTACCATTCTCCCTTCTTGGAGTGAAGAGAGCAGCATATGTTTATTTAATAAGCCCTAAGTTATTTCTGAACCACACTATCAAGGTAGTTGCTATTCTGATGCATAGAAAGGAAGAAAGGTTTTTTTTTAATTATTTTTTTTAATATATTTTTTTAAACTGGCACAGCTAACAGGTTTGGAAGGACAAGCACGTTGGCATCCAGGCTGTCAGGCAGGCATATATGGAAGAATTTAGACAGCTGTAGAGGGGAGAAAAGTATCCTTGTACTTCTCATCAGCTAAGAAATGCTGCTTTATGCTGCTCTGCCACTTGCTTCCTTTTAGAATAAAATCTAGGGCATGGGGCATCAACATTCAAGAGCAGAGAAAACAGTAATTAGTTCCATCTAACATTTCAATATTTAATCTACCTACCCATGTATGGAGAGATGTAAATCATAGTTGTGGCCATCCAAGTCAGCTGATATTTTTGCATGTAAGGACTTGCAAATTGGTTTACAGTAATCCACTGTGGTCTTAGATGTTGCATATGAGTAGGAACGGATACACTGCAAGTCCTGTTTGCAGTAGAGAAAAAAGTTACTGGCAATTTGGTCTAAAAGCAGTTCATCATGGATGAATAGGTGTAAGAATGAAACTTTACAATGAAAAAATAATAGAGCTTCTCCTAGTTGATAAACTGTAAAACCTTTTTGGTTTCCTTCCAGTTATAAAGGAAATTAGAGCACTTATCTTTGAGTCCTTGAGGACTCCCTGTATAACAGTTTTCAAAAGTACACATTAGGTACTGTGCAGTAATGCACCTGTTCTAAGAAATGGCTCTGTAAAATGAAAGAAAATAGAGGTTAACCTTTAGATGGGATAAACTTTCTGAAATGCAGTCAGACCAATATGTTCTGCGCACAGTAAGATGGGGAAATGAGCCTGTTTATTTTTTTTGCTAGTCTCTCACTGTCTACAGATACTGTAGCTGGCAGTTTGGACTGTAATGTTACAGCAGTGTGTTTTGCAAAATGATGCCTGAACTGAAGATAATGTCATTCAGGAGCAGCGGCATCTTCTAAAGGTAGGAAATTAAGTCTTAAGAGGTTCAGCCACCCAGTGTCAGCATCATTACTCGGTGAGTCACACATGAGACTTGGCTCAGTCCTGAACAGCGCCTCGTGTAAAAAGACAAACAGCTCTAGCTAACTCCCAGTTCCTGATGTCAGCTAAGGTCAGGGCAGAACCTGGCATCTCCCTGCTGCGAAGGCAGTGAAGGAAGCAGTTGATGTATTTAGCTTGGCACGCTGCCTTTGTGTGCCATCTGAATGCAACCCGCTGCTGTAATTTCAAGGCTAAAGGTCAGAGATTTGTGAAGTTGGATAGTTCACGTTGCCCTTACGACAGTGTCACCTCAATCCTGATGTGCTGAGTGTTGTTTGAGATTATTAGAAACTTAGAAATTAGCAACAGAAGTACACCTTTTCCATTTTGTTGTTGTTGTTGTTTTGCCTGGCCTTGTCTTTGTTTGTTTTTTTTTTTTGTAATTGAAAGTACATGACTGACTCAGAGTACAAGTCTGTGAAAGAGGGGTTAAGCATAATCACTGTGATCACTTGGGATTCTACATAAAGGGATCATTAAGAATCCCAAGCGACCATGGCGAACCACCAGAAGAATTCTACCAATTTAGGGGCAGATACTGGTGATGAAAGGTGGGGTCATGGTACCTTCCTTGAAAACTGTTCTTTGGGTGTTTTTTTTGTTTGTTTGTTTTTGTTTTTTGTTTTTTTTAATCACAACCCTATCTCCTCCTTCACTTCTTGACAGTTCTCTCCTGCATGAAGTTAAAACATCTCTCACTATTTGATATCTCTCATCAAAGAATTTGCTAGGAAGAAGACAGTTGCAATCTTAAACAGCTTAGTTTTTTGGGTTGTCCCTTCCTTGTAATCCTGGCTAGGAAGATATCCTTGTAAAAGAGAAGATGGTGGCTGTGGAAGTTACTTGGATTTTTTGGAGAGCTGGCGTGTATAGCAGCAAGCATAAATCACACCACTACCAAAACAACCATAGATTAGAGTGCCAACAAACCTAAAATGAAAACCTGCAATCAGAACTGGGTGATAGATTGCTAGTAAGTAATCTGTGCACAGTGGTTATTTGCTGAACTGGCCTAAACACCAGTAAGGTACTCACATCTGCCCTGCTCGTCCTCCTGCCCATGCAGGTCTGTCCTGCTCCATAGCAGCTAAGCTCACTGGGTGCATCAGCTCCATTAGTCATCCCCATGAAGTTCAGCTCCATTGGTCATCCTCATGAAGTTCACCAGCCATATTTCTTCAGGTTACCTGTTTAGAAAACGAAAGTGTTTATATGGTTAGAATTTTAGGTGATCTTGTCTGGAGCCAGGAGTTGGAGTCAGTGATCCTTGTGGGTCTCTTCCAACTCAGGATATTCTGTGATTCTATGACTCTGTGGCTGCAACACAGTCCTAGATGAGATTTAGCCAACCATTAAATACAAATATATACACACAAGATACTATGGATATTTTCTTACATAAGAATTTTGTTTGTATGAACTCTGGACAAGGCTAGCTCTTTGCCAGCAAAAAGCACAATCCTGGTTGTTGTAAATAACAACCAAATTGACTGATTAGATACATTTTCAAAAAATGTGCTTATAAGTCCTGGGCAGAGAAACCTGACGAGGTAAACATAAAAGAACTATTACTGTGCCTTTTGTGCCTTAGTGTATGAGGCATCTTTGCCATGTTATTCAATTTTTTTATTTTTTTGGTTCTTGGAAAGAGTGGCCTATTGCAGGAAAAAGGCATGAAAGCAACTGATAAACCTGCAGAGGGCCATGGTGTTCTGTGGTTTAAACAAAACAGGGCAAAACACTTCTCAGTAAACAGCTGCAACTAGCCTTGAAAAGAAAACATTTCCGATTCCAGGGAATATGTGGTAATCCTTTCTACAAAGAATGTGGATAAATAGCCTTCTGCAGCACAGTTGGCCTGAAAAAAATCTACAAAAAATATTTTACCCATTCGTTACCTTCCCTGGGAACCTCTGTAGGGCATGTGGAAGATCCTTTTGCTGGGTGAATCAGTGGCAGCCCAATAAATCGAATGGCAACTTACTAGTAGGTGTATTGCTCTTCAAGTTTGAAGCTTGAATGGTGTTTTCCAATGGAAATTTTTAAGTGAGAAAAACATGATCTGACATTTAAAGATACAGTCTTGTGAAATCAACATTTCTCCCCACTGGGTGGATACTTTTGTTTTTTACTCCCACAGAACAGACCTTAAGCATGCAGAATTGATAATCCATCAACAAAGCAGCAAACATACCAAGATTTGGATTCTCACCAAACTATTTCAGCAGGGTAACCTTACCACAAGCCAAGCAGGAAAAGAAAGTAACTTCTGTAAATTTTTGTTTGGGAAATGGATTCCTCTGTCCCCACTCACATTACCACTCCATTGTACTTGGCAGTCAGAGACCCTTTTGGGAGAAATCTCAGTCTGTCACTTTCCACAGAAATCTGCAATGGAAAGGGGGCTGCCGCAGGGTCTTTTTCACACAGCATCTACTGAAAGCTGAGTCATATGCATTTGTTTGTTTACATTTAAACTAACCATAGTGGATTTAAAAGCCATGTGTAAGGACAGTGACTGTAGACGCAAGGGAGCAGATCCTTTTTGGCATAAATATTGCTGAATGCAGGAAGTCTCTCAGTTGATAGGAGGTGCTTCAAAATTTGCTTTTCCTCTGGAGGATGCGTTGACAGCAGTGCTGTTCCTCTGTTGGCTGTCCCTTCTCTTTGAGAAGACTTCCTTATCAGAGACACTGCACTGAAAGTAACTGTGGAAAATGGTAGTGCAGAAGGACAGTAAAGAAAACCAAAGCAAGAAAATGATATATCTCTCCTTGTGAACATGTAAGTCAGAAAGAGATTGTAAAACTCTCACTTGGAAAATCACATTCATCACACAGAATCTGACTTGGCTTCCACTTAGTTTTTGCCAGGTTAGGCTACAGCAACTATCTGTTCTTTGCAATATTAATGTTGTTAGACTGGTACCTGAATGACCATTCTCTCTCTCTCCTGCAACTGGACTTGTTTAATTCATACTAGCAGGCTTGCACTGTACTGGTGATAACAGCAGAATTAAAACACTGAAGTGGTTATGGGTTGACAAGCTGTAATGGGGAGCAGGTCATGACCATTTAGGCTGAAGGAGTGCCTTAGATCCCAGGATTATCTTCTTAGAGAAACAGGTTTGTTTAGGGGAAAGTTAAAAAGAAAATCCTGGATTTTCAGAAGGGATAAAACCTATCCTTCTACTGTAAGGAGACAAAAAGTTGAGATCTTTATTTTCTTAACATTTTACACACCCACAGAAGAAGTAATACGCTTGAGTCTCTGGGGAAGAAATCACAAATCTGCCACAGCTCTTCAATAGCATTTCAGATCTTTTCCAATTCAGCGGGCAAATACAGGGCGAGCCAGTAAATAAGCACTGTATTCCTTTGAGTCTGTTCCTGTTTGCAGATGCCTTTGCAATCACTGAGAACTTAATTTGGAAATGGAAAGACTTACGCTTTGGGGTGGAATAAGAGAAATAGTTTGCATATTTCCTACCTTACCACCACAAAAAATGTTGACTGTGTGGTATTGCCCTCTACTGGCACCGGTCTGAGAAGCTTTGCAGGTAGAAAAGTGGAATCTGCTGGTCAGTCAGGTTTGTCCCTTTCGGAGGTGTCATTCAGAGGCAGGAATGTCTTTTATTGCCAGGGTTTTGTTCTAATACAGCTTTAAAAACATTACAGGTTTTGATAATCATTCATTTTCTGATGAACATTCAAAGAATTTATATATGTTTTCATACAGAAGCTGCCTTTTGAAGATGGTTGCATCAATGCAGCGTCATTATATGCTCTGAAGTAACTAATCTTTTTCTTTTTTTTTCTCCCCAAAGTGTCACTTGATTCACTATCTGAGACTCAGCCATCACTTGATAGTTCTGAATTATTTGATTTGTACGTTTGACAAGCTGAAGTCTGTCTCTTCTGAACCCATTAACATAACGGATGTTGTTTTTGATGGTGTGGAAGTCAGAGTGTTTGAACCTCCTGCAAAGCAAGATGAACCGCTGAAGCGCAGTGTTGTTTACATCCACGGAGGCGGCTGGGCCTTGGCAAGTGCGAGTACGTGTCTGTTGGTAACTAAATGGGATTCTGGGCTGGTTTCCTCCCAGCAGCAGAAACCAAAGGCTGTTTTTCCTGCCGGGAGATGATAATTTTGCAGAGACATACCTGAATTCAGTAGTCACCATCTCCATTCTGGAGGAGCAGTTGTAAGGAATCGTGATGAAAATATACAATGGATGCACTGGAAAAATATATATCTTATCAGGATGTGAACTGAAAAAGAACCAAAAGATTAATTTTGTAACATCACGACAGGACAAATTACACAATATACAAAACAAACAATTACACAAAGAGCGGACTGAACAAAATTGCATGCAAGGCCATTGCTACTGTTTGGCTTCCAATGGTGTGTATTTGGGAATACATACTGCTGATCCCAGAAAACAGCGTGACCAAGGATATGGGTAGAGATGGGTTCCTTATTCCCTCTTAGTAGATCCCTTATAGAATCTACTGTGATCATGAGCAGAAACTACCTTGAAAATTAACAGTACCGACTTTCTCTGATGTTTGTGACTTCCAAGTTAATTGTAGTAAGGTATAGCTGTAGGCAACAATAAGCTAAGCACGGATCCTTCCACATCTCACAGCAGGAGAAAAGCCTTGGAAAAAGTAGGGGCCTGCAGTTCTCACAGCTGTTCTGAGGCAAAGATCAAGAATGGGTAGGAGTCTTTGTCCTTCCCCATTGCTTCCGGGACAACATGAAGGCCTCACAACCCTGATGCATTGTGAAGCATACATGGACTCATCTGTAAAGGGGAAAAAATTCAGTGGGCTTTTCTGAAGTGTTCTAAAATATGCAGGAGATTGTACTGATTGCATTCAGACCGTGTATGTGTAAGCCACCTATACCACAACTTAAGTGAGATTTAGTGTCCTGAATAAGTTCAAAATCTGGTCACTCCTCACAGAGAAATTGAGCTTTGAGATGAGTTTTCTTAGGCCTACATAAGGGCTGTTTATTAGAGTCCTGCCCATATCATTTGTTCTGCAACAGATCAAATTGGCAACAGTTGGCATAAGACTTGCTGTACAGATAGTTTATATTAAATTACAGTGCTTTGTTTGATCATTGTAACTCAGCTATCCTCAATTCCAAGATTCAGAAATTAATGGCACAAACATTACAGCTAAGTACTAAATTCTAAGGCTAAATACTTTATAAAACACTTAGTGTCCTAGTATATTTTATAGTACCAGGAATCCAAGATTAAGAAATTGGAAAGGAATAAAATTAAGGAAAATCAGGCTACTGACAGACAGGATTAATCCCCTGTTAAATAAGTAGTTCACATAGTTCACTTGACATTAATAGGGCAGCTCATTTGAATCAAGGCAATACAAGCTGCAATAAAATGAACAAAAATCAGTGACTCATATGGTAACAACTGTTTCCGGATGCAGTGTCCCCAGGCCACCAGGTACCTTGAATTTTGTCCTGTTGTGAGTACTATGATAGGTGGGTGAAATGACAAGCCTCGAGTCACCAAGAAACAGATGAGGGGAAAAAAAACATCAGACTTCAGGACTTCTCTTGGAGTGAATTGTGTTCCTTCTGCTAAAATGTATATTTGGAACATCATCTGGTTTAAGCTGATGTAATTTACTTCTGTTTGTTAGAAGTCTTTATGTTTTCTGAGAAGGTTTTCTCTTGTGGTTTAACTCAGCAGATGCCTGAGCACCACACCACCACACAGTCCTTTACTCACTCTCCTTTCCCAGTGGGATGGAGGAGAGAATTTAAAAAAAAAAAAAAAAGTAGAACTTAGGAGTTAAGATAAAACTATTTACTAAGATAGAGGAAAGGATAATAATTTTTATATGTATGTAAACATATATTTATAAATGCTTGTAACAAATGAAGCACAAGCAATTGCTCACCAGCCACCAACCAGTGCCCCCAGCTTCAAACCATCCAAAACTCCTTCCTCACAATCTCATATAGTATGGCATGGCCCTTTGGCCACTTTAAGTCAGCTGTCCTGATTCAGTTCCTTCCCAGCTCCTTGGGCCCTTTGCTGAAAATGGCCTTGGCTCTTGGAGCACTGCTTTGCAGCAACTATAAACACTGTTGTGTTGTCAACATTTGTTTTTTCTCCTCGAACCAAAACATAGCACCATACCAGACACTCTGAAGAAAACAATTCCATCCCTGCTAAAACTAGGACAGTTAGGTATGGCTTTGTGAAATACTGCCATAAATGGACTTGCATGTACCTAACGCTATGTCCTTTTGTTTTAGGAACAAGCCTTTATAACAACCTTTGCAGAATCATGGCTGAATCTCTGAATGCTGTAGTTGTATCAATTGAGTGAGTAATCTGAAATTAATTATGCAATTTTAAGGTATTAGAAATATGTAATGTAGTTCTTCAAGCTTTGCCCTTTTCCCTTGTTATGGCTTGTATATAAGGCTTTAAACTTGGACAATAATTCTCTACCAGTCTGATATTATTATCCTTTTAGAATAACAAATTAGAGTGGAATCAAAAGTTCAGTTGGGTTTCTGTTTCTCTTAGAAGTCATTTCAGAGGGCAGAAATGTGGGAGAAGAGTAGAATTTTTAATTTGGACAAAACACTGAAATGCAAATTTTACACATTCTAGTGCATCTCACAAATGTATCTGCACGTAAGGAGTGCACCTAAAACCTCAGATCACTCAGTTGCCTTAAGTTTTAATTCTGTTAATGCTTGTCAAAAAAAAATTTGTTATATACCTGAAGGAAGGCCAGACCACATCCCTCTGACTCCCTATGGAGCAGAAGAGAATTTTTCATCCTTAACTGAAGGTATATTATACATAAAAAACCAAACACCTAAAGTCTGTCTAAAAAAACACCACTTCTAAGGAGCTCTGAGGAAGTGTCTGCAACCTAAAAATTAGCAAATCATTTTTTAGTGCTCATTAACCAAAATACACAGTGAAGCCTGGCGGTTCCTGCTGTTCTCTCAAGCACCCGCTGTTGAAGTCATCTGATTTCAGCCCTGTACTCCACTCAAGGGCAGGAGACTGCCAGCGTGCTAGACAACAGAGGAGCAGCACTGGTTTTTTCACTAGCTGAACAATTCCAAAGTAAACAGGCCTCTCAGCTAGCTAACTAAATTACCGAGATGACTCCAACTTGAGTGGTACTTTTCCCACCCTTATCGTCAACTTCAATATTTTCTTTTGCAAAACCAATCACTTGATATAACTACTCACGGCTCCGACTTGCAGTTGATTACATATCAAGCTCTGTGATCTAATTACAATTTAATTATATGGAGTTGGTGTTACTGATTCGCAGTAGGCATTGTAGTGTACTTTAAGGGTTGGCTTTTTTACTTCTTTGTTGTTTGTTAGTAGAAAAAAAATAAAAAGGAAAAAAGCAGGCAAGTATCAATCACAGTATTGGAAAGTCCCTAGTTATTCATTTTCTCACTTAAGGTGATATAGTACTGGCTGTTCCTCAGAGTTGTTTGTCATTTCTCCTTAGCCATTATATCTTTCAATCAAGGCATTTATTTTCAGTTAGTGAAGTCTAATTAGATTTTCTTTATTGGTTGAGTTGCACATCTCACTTTTGTGATCTATATACAACATTACCTAGTTCTGCAAGGCCTAGTTCACTCAAGCCTCTCTCATATTACTTTGTAGCTGATGTAATATATATTGTTCACTGAAAGCAGGACAGATTTGATGTTTGAAACACTTGATGTGAATTAAGCTTAAAATTTATTTTGCATATACTATATTTTTTAGCTTAGATTCCAAAGAAAATACTTTGAACCAAGAAACAGTAGTTTGTTTTGCTTCAGAAGTAATGGCAATACTATTTTTTCACTTTGAACTAAAAGACATCTCTGTAATGACATTAACTTCTATCAAGCTGACAAGAGAAATATTTTCTCAAAACGTTATAAATTAGCTCTGCTGAGAATATGTAAAATTCATTAAAGATACAAAAACTGCAACCAGAAAGATGTGCTTTGCACCATAAGGCCCAGTAACAACTCTTAGACTACAAATGATTCAGTAAATACAAACTGACTTCCCCTACACTGTCATTAAGGTACTGAGAAAATGCAGTAAACAGGTTTCAGCTGCTGCTGCTTCACTTGGATATTGCCTACATCACTGCATCTCTCCTTGATAAAGGAGAATAATTATTGAGTCTGTTGGATTAGTGCAAATCATTATTACTTCACTTCCTGGCTACTGTTAATTTCCTGGTACAGAGGTACAGCTCTCCTGAGCTTAAATAAACATCTGGGAAACAGAACTACCAAGGTGTTTGTCTCAGCTGAGTCTGCTGGGCGTCACTCTTCTTCACAGCAGGTAAGGTGGGGAGCTCCTTAAGGTGAGATCAAAAACAGGCCAACAGGAATAACTCCCTTGCCAAGGATGTTTTTAATAGTAATTCACTTTTATAATGTATGATGAAATCCTCTGTTGGGAAAGCACTGCACAGTATTATACCACTGCGGCGTTTTTCATATCTAATAGGTCCTTATAAACCTTTTAGAGTAAGAATGTTAATTATAAGGTTAAGTATTACACACCTCATTTTTTTTTCTCTAGTACTTATCCTAATAAAATAGCTATTTGCTACTAAGAGGTATCTGATAGTATTTATTGATCAGGAGAGAGAAGTATGGTAACTAATAATTGTCTCTTACTTCCCTTCTTCTTTTGTAGATACAGGCTGGTACCAGAGGTGTGCTTCCCTGAGCAATTCCATGATGCTCTTCGTGCTACAAAGCATTTTTTGCAGCCT